AAGACAGTTAAGAATGACATCTTAGTATGTCAGATTTATGTTGATGACATCATATTTGGATCCACTAAACCCTCTTTGGGAAGAAAGTTTGCTAAATGTATGCAGGCAGAATTTGAGATGAGCCTAATGGGGGAACTAAAATTCTTTCTGGGCATTCAGATTAATCAAACCCCAGAAGGAACTTACATTCATCAGAGAAAATATGTCAGAGAACTTCTGAAGAAATATGATCTCTCAGAATGTAAGCCATCAAAGATTCCAATGCATCCCACGTGCATTCTGGAAAGAGAAGAGGTAAGTAAAAAGGTAGAACAGAAGGTCTACAGAGGTATGATTGGTTCTCTTCTATATCTGACGGCTTCAAGGCCTGACATTCTATTCAGTGTTTGCATTTGTGCTAGATTCCAATCAGATCCTAGAGAATCTCACTTAACAGCAGTTAAGCGAATTTTCAAGTATCTGAAAGGTACTACTAATCTGGGTTTGTTTTATAGAAAATCAAGTGATTACAGCTTGATAGGATACTGTGATGCTGATTTCGCTGGAGACAGAGTATAACGTAAAAGCACTTCTAGAAGCTTCCAGTTTTTGGGAGAAAATCTGATCTCATGGTCCAGCAAAAGACAATCCACAATAACTCTATCAACAGCATAAGCTGAATACATAGCAGCAGCTGGATGCAGCACACAAATGCTCTGGATGAAAAGTCAACTTGAGGACTTCAAAATATTTGAGAGTAACATCCCTATCCTATGTGACAATACTTCTGCTATTTGTCTCAATAAAAATCCTATTTTTCATTCTAGGGCTAAGCATATAGAAATAAAACATCATTTTATTAGGGACTATATTCAGAAAAGGATTCTAAATTTAAAATTTATTAACACAGACCATCAATGGGCTGATATCTTTACAAAAGCTCTTTCTGAAGATAGGTTCAACTTCATTCTGAAACATCTCAGCATGAAGCTCTGCCCAAAATAAAACTGTTTTGATTCCATATCTTAACCTTCAGAACTTTGTTTATTTTTCCATGAGCTACTGATCAATCTTTCTTCAGATCTTTAGAAGTACAGATTATATCAGAATCTATCCATGAAGACCTGCGCACTTCATTTCAAGGATAGATATGTGCAGTTCACTCAAGCAAACAAGTGTCATCCAGTCATCAGCTACGTTCTGAGGCTGAACACGTGTTAACGTTTCTGAAAGGTCAAAAGCGGTGATTGGATGCATTGGGACACATGTCATGGGTAACCGTTTCAATATCTTTCTGAATCCCCCAAAATCAGCTATCATTAAATGCTCTTAATCATTATAATTTATTTCTATCTCTTGCCGTTTATATTTTCAAAATCCTTTTAAAAAAAATCTATTTAAAAAAAATCTATTTTCACAAGCATGTTAACCCAGCAACAGGAAACCAACATCCAGATCAAGAGCATGTTGGAAGCCTTGTTCACGCGTCTACCTCCTCCCTCTTAGAATTCCCTCGTTTTTAAAACATGTTTATCTGTAATATTCTTACATTACTGATGTCCTGAACTTTTCGTTGATTCTGGTTTTTTAATATAAATGCATTTTAGCTCTGATTATATGTTCTTTTTGATAACTGACAAAAAGGGGGAGAAAGAATGATATTTTTCAATAACGGATTACTGAGACATAAGTCTCAAACATTCTGATCTATTTAAATTTCTCTCTTATGAAAAGCTTGAATAGGTACAAAACTCTGATGAAAGATACAGTAAGGTTCTGATGCTCAAAGACTCATGAAATTAAAGGTAAGTAATCAACTCAGAGGGAGTTTCTCTTCTTAATTCTATACTTTTTATTCTTTATTTTTAATTGAAAAATCTGGTTTTTTTTCATCATCAAAAAGGGGGAGATTGTTAGAACATAGTTTGATTCTACAACCCTTGATTAGAGTTTTGATGATAACAAAATACAAAGAATAAATAAATTCAAAGATGTACATATAAAACTAATATGCTTCTTAAAATTATGTTTTGTATATGCAGAAGTTCTGATGGAATCAGCATCAGAAGATCAGTAATATGTGCTACACGCTGAAGCTACCAGATTATACGCTGAAGCTACCAGATTATATGCTGAAGCTTGATGATCAGAATATGCGCATAAATAAACTAATACACTCTGACTCTGATCAAAGATCTTTATCAAGTCATCAACACTCTGAAGCGTTATCATAAGTTAAAGCAAACAAGACTCTGAAGCGTTATCATAAGTTAAAGCAAAGAAGACTTTGAAGCATTATCATAAGTTAAAGCAAAGAAGACTCTGAAGCGTTATTAAGTATTCAAGATAGAATTAAATGCTAACGGCTCTCATCAGACAAGATCTTATTCAAAAGGAAAGTGCGTTATTGTCATTAAACTTGCTTTATGGACAACATATCTTTGCCTTGCCTATATAAACAAGTCTGCTTGAGAAAAGACTCACACATGCACTCACACAATTTGCCAAGCCTTCAAAACCACGCTTATTCGAACGCTTTAGAAAAATCAGTTTATTCCAAGCTTAAGTTGTGTAATTATCACAGTTGTGATATATTGTTTTGTTAGAAAATGTTAACACATCCTTGTTCAATTATTTGTAAAAGATTTCCTTGAGATAAACCGGTCTGTGGTTGTACTCAAGAAGACTTTAACAGTTGTTAAAGTAGCTGTTGTAATCCTTTGGAAATAGTGGATTAAGACCTCGTTGGAGAGAGGCGAAATCACCTTGACGGGTGGACTGGAGTAGTTTGAGATCAAACGAACCAGGATAAAAATACTGCATTGTCAAACCATTTGTTTTAAGTTTTACAATTCAACCCCCCCTTCTTGTGTTTTTCACATCTTCAGAGTAAACCTAATAAGGGTGGAATCACGACCAAACGACCGAGAGATACAGGTAAAGGAGTCTGTTACACGAGGGGAAGGTATTAGCACCCCACACGCTTGTAGTAATCTACGGTATCCACTCTTGTTGTCTATCTTATGGGTGTGTAAGAATCTATATCTAAACTGTACATGGAATGCATACAAAAGAAAGAAGAAAAGAATATAGGGAAAATAAAAGTTGTGCTCGCTCGGGCCCTACCCCAATGCCTACGTATCCCTTTTAAGGAATTAGAGCAGTCGTAGTTCGGCTTCAAAAGTTTTTGTTGGTTTGTATTTTTTAAATGAACCATATTAATTTCGCCTTCTGCCGCAACTCGACCTTTGGAGACTTACTCCTAAGCACATAAGTGAATTAACATGTTATTTCTGAAAAGAGTTTGAAAGTAAAGCCCGAAGGCGCAAAAGAGTTTGCATTGGTTGAAATTTTTTACCTTAAAAAAAGATTTGAAAATTGTTAGATGTTTTATGCATTTGCTAAGAAAAAGATTTTTAGTCTTAAATGCAAGGATGTAAAAGAAAAGAAAAACATCTAAGGGAGACTAGCCTATCTCTATCCCTAATGTTATCATACAATGATAAATCCTAAAGTTATGTTTTGAAGGGAAATATCTACCCTAAGTTGACATGCATGGATAACAATCCTAATGTCTATCTCAACTCATCATCTATAGATGAATCAAGAGGTCCTAGAGGAGCATAGCAAGGGTCTATCACCTAAAACTATGTCTATCTTGAATCATCATCTATAGTTGAATAGAGAGCTCCTAAGGGAACATGCCGAGGGTATATCATCTCAAAACATGCACATAAAGATGAAATCAAACAAACAAGCCAATAAGCTCAAGAGAGCTAGTTTAAGAAAGCACAACTAGAGAGATCATACCTAGGCTAGCATGCCAAAGAAAGTCTAACAAAAACTATCCCACGGGGAACATGCAATGAGAGTGAAGTCGTGATCTCAATTTCTAAATTGAGTGACTCATCGATCAACAAGAAATAATGGAAAGCGATAAAATCCTATAGGGAGCATGCACTGAGAGCGAAGTCGTGATCTCAATTTCTAAATTGAGTGACTCATCAATCAACAACGAAAGAAACAAACACAAGCACAACACATATAGCAAATGAAGTGCGGAATGCCTACTACAGGTCTTTATTTCATACTTCTCATGCTATCTAGAAAGCAGTAGAGTGCTGAAATGAGATAAATAAGAGAAAAAACCAAACGGATGTCAATCTGTAGCAAAGCGTATCAAGATAAAGAAACCCGACGATCTTCGCGAAAGCTTCACAAATCAAAGAAAAGAGTCATAAATCAAACACTCAGAATAAGTGTCGAAGCATCATCGATGTTAAAATAAATCACAATCAAAATCTCAAGCGCACATGCATATCGCACAATAAACCTACATAAGACTTAAATCTCAACAAGCCAAGATAAATCACAAATTTCGAGTAATTGGATAACCATGAATTAATTCCTAAAATCCAATAAAAATATAACAAATTTTTATATTTTATTTTATTATTTTTATCATGTAATGAAACAAGTAATATTTCATGGAAAAATATTAATAAAAATTTAAAGCAATCAATAAGAAAGCTAAAGAAAAATAGCAAAACTAAAAACTTAGGGGTGCACTGCCTAAACAGATAGTACAAAGAAGAAATCTGGCGCAGGGCCTATGCACTCGAGCCCACTTTGCTTAGATCCAATAGCATATTTTTGTGTAAAATCCAAAAAATGTCAACAAATTGATGATGGGCCAGGAGAGGATCTGCTGGAGGTTAGGTCCAATTCCATTCAAGATAATCTACATCAAACTTCTATATTTTGTTATTGAATTAAAATAAATGAAAGAATTAAATAAAAATAAAGGAGAAGAAAAATGATGAGTTTTGAGATTCAAGTGCTTATGACGTTCCTAATCCCAAAAAATCCTATCTTCTTTCTCTGTGAACGATACCTTCCTCTTCTCCGCCGACACATATCAATCTTCTCCAATCCATTATGCCGCAACAGGTCTCCATGAAACACGTCTTATTTACCCTATCTCTTCGCGGATCCTTCTTTGAATCTGTCAACACACTTTGTCACTTTGTCTCACTCTCTTCGTTCCATCGTCTAGAAATCTCGCCTTCGTCCGTTTGCAACAAGCTCAAACCTTCCTTTCTGCATTGATTGTGAACAGAAGCCCTAACGTACTCAACATGCCAGCGATTCAAGCAGAGATTTCTGGGGTATTTACTTTTACTCTTCATCTTCTACCTATTCTCATCAAGAAAGGCAGATAAAGAAATGAACAAAATATAGAAATTTGGCGTTGCTTACCTACCAGAAGAACTATCCGACGCTTATTCAACAATCGTTGTAACGATAAGAAATCTGGATGTCAATTCTCTAATCTATTCTTCTTCTTTATCTTTCATTTTTGTCTTAATTTATGTGATTCTGTGGTTCCATGATGTTATCGTTGATTCTGCGTAACTTGTGATATTTATGAAACAGGGCAAAAACCTTCGTCGATGATAATGTTGCAAAGCTGCAGATTCATTTGTTGCAGATTTGTTGAAATGCAGGTGACGGAGATTGAAATTGTGAAGTGATAAATGTAGTATGAAGCTTTGAAATTTGAAGTTTGTTGAAGCTGTATTAATGATAAAGATGAAGCTGTGGTGGTGGTTTGCTGAAAGATTTGGTTATGGTGATGGAGAAGCGAGGAAGATGACAAAGTGTGGTAGTTAAGGATAAAGTGAAAAGAGAAGGTGCAAAGGTTTTTAAGATGGATGAATATGCCAGTATGAAGATTATGGAAGATGGAATTAAAGAGAGAATTGAAAAGTGAGGCCTTTCGGAATTGGAGAGTGGAGGCAGAAATTTGGGGAGAGCTTTTAGAGAGAGTTTTCTTGTATTCTTTTATTCTGCAGAGTATTGAAAGATGATCCTACAAGGTGAGTTTTTTTTCTGTTATATAATTCTGTCATGGTTAGGAAGTTAGTTAGAGCTGAATAAATCTCAGCCTTAAATCTTAATAGTTAGTTACAAGCATGAAGGGTTGGGACTGATCTATTATGAGAGTTAGCTTTCTATTATTGACAGTTGGAGTCAGTTATGTATGGAATTTAAGAGTTAGTAAATGTTGTTGATTTAGTTGGTTAGAGGACAATTGAGATTTGAAAAGTTAGTTCTAAAATTTGTTACAAGTTAGTTATCCAGTTAATTTATTATTCTGTTTTTGTTGAAATCAATTATTGAAACTGTTAAGAAAATTGTTAGTGGTTAGAAAATCAATTAGGGATTTGTTTTGATTTGAGTGTTTAATGTGAAAATTAGTTAGGAGAAATGAATGGTTGATATTTGAATGAAAGTTGAGCTGTTATGACTTCTGTTGGAAGCTGCTGATTTTCTGTTATGGTGAAACCGAATTCTGTTAGGACTTGACTTCTTATTTTTTTGTTTCACTATTTTCTTTCTTTATATCTTCTGGATTTGGTATTTTGAATGTGAGCTACAATCCGATTCAACCATGCTGGCTGAACTCGGTTTATGTGAACTGATATATCTTCCTCTGAATTTTATTGCGTGAGCAGAAATGACCTGAGTTCATGAGTAACTTTTGCTGCCTTGGAATGATGTATTGCTTGTTTTATGTTCAATTTTGTTTGAACGACTCTAGCCTTTGTGATATGCATGAACTGCTTTTTGATATGATGACTAACTTGGTTATTTTGTGGGGCTTCCTTGTCATGATTATCTGGTCTGAACAAATAGGCACAAGACTTATGAGGTCATGAAGAAGATTGGAATATGAAGAACAAAATTGGGCGAGGATAACTTTGGAGAATTAATCAAGAATAGCTTTAAGATTAGAAACTGAACTTTGTACTTCTTCAACAGTAATTGTATGCTATGTGGAAATTACAGTCTGAATGTAACTTTCATGTGATGAATTAGATTGGAATTGTACTTGTACTTCTCTTGTAATATGCTTTTTTTTTGAAATTTTCGTGATTCTTCTAGTATTGAAAGCACCTTCTTCTAAATTGAACTTGTGATTCCAAGTATTTTCTCTTTAACACCTTTCCTATTATTTGAATAAACTTGAATAAAGGATGAAATTTTGATTTTGGGCTTTGCATGAAAATTCAATAACATGTGACTTTATGCAACGATAACCTTTGATCATGAGATCACACACTTTTGTAAGTTGAAATCCTTTGAATTCTATCCTTTTCATATGGTTTACATGTTTCACTTTGACCATTGGTAGCTTATTCAAAACTTGAAACCAATAGAATGAGTTAATAATGAACTTAAATGGAAATTTGGCCAAAAAGACTACTTCTCAAGTCGACTTTAATCAAAGTCAAAAAAATTGATTAAGTTCTCTTTGAATCAATCTCTTGTATAATTTCATGAATTCAGACCAATTAGTAAACTATACTCGCACCTTGGAAAAACACTAGTTCAATGCTCATATTCCATGCCCTTAATAACTTGTATTTGAAGTCACCATTGATTGAACCAATCCTAATTAATGATGGACGAATGAGCTCATGTACTTATTTTCTTACACAAAAACCAATGATTGCACCATGTATCCCAAGCAATATACGTACCCCTTGCTTGATACACCATGTGACCTCAACGCCAAACTAACCTTCCTTGAGGAAATTCCTTGACTCGGATGGAACTGGAAGCATAGCAAGACATCCATGTGATAAAACCCTGATGCCACGAGATACATAGGGAAATAAACCCTAATCTCTGGAATTGATGAAATTGGGTGGAGATTGGCCTTATAGATTCGCGAAGAAGAGATTCTTAATGACCATAGACCATAACCCTAATTCCACTGCTCAACGCTTGAAGAAACAATTAGCCTTTATTGGATACGAACACCTTGACCAGTGTAAAACCCTAACATCGCACAACCACTAAACTTTGAACCACAAAGCTATATTGAATGAAACGATGCCATGTTAGTGACCTAATGGAATATATGTAAATGATTGCAAAAGTCTAAGCCAAATGAAATAAATTAGGAGGGAAAATTATGGGGTGCAACAGAGAGGGAGCAAGATAGGAGGTTCAAGCAGATATTCTTTGATACTTTCAAATTCCCTTTGGCAATCATCTGTCTACACACAACCTTGATCCTTTTTTAGCAACTTAAAGATCAGTTCACATGTTGCGGTCATGTGCGAGATGAATATGGAAATATAATTCAAACGCCCGAGGAAGTCTCTAACTTTCTTCTCCGTCCTTGGTGCATGAATTTCTTGGATTGCTTTGACCTTATTTAGGTCAACTTCAATCCCTTTTTGGCTGACAACAAAACTCAACAACTTCCCTGATCAGACATTGAAGGTGAATTTATTTGGATTTAAGCGGAGACGGTACTTCCTCAAACGCTGGAATAACTTCAAAAATTCTTCCACATGCCCTTCTCCGGTCTGTGTTTTGGAAATCATGTCATCAACATATACCTCAATCTCCTTGTGCATCAGATCATGGAATAGGGTAGTCATAGCCCTCTAGTACGTTGCACCAGTGTTCTTCAACCCGAAAAGCATCACTCTATAACAGAATGTTCCCCACGGTGTGATAAACATTGTTTTTCCATGTCCTCAAGAGTTATTCTTATTTGATTATATCCGGAAAATCCATCCATGAACGAGAATACTTTAAACTTTGATGTGCTATCAACCATTATATCAATGTCCGGTAATGGGAAATCATCTTTTGGACTAGATTTATTTAGATCTCTGTAATCTACGCACATGCGGACTTTTCTATCTTTCTTCGGTACAGGCTCAACGTTGGCTATCCATTAAGGATACAATAATGTCACAAGAAAACCGACACTTATTTGTTTTAACACTTCTTCTTTGATTTTTACTATCATATCAGGGTGAGTTCTTCTCAACTTCTGCTTGACGGGCGTGCACTCTGGCTTTAAAGGCAAATGATGATCTACAATATCAATATCTAGACCCGACATATCTTGGTAAGACCAAGCAAAGATTTCCACATGCTCTTTCAATATCTCAATCAACCCTCTCTTCACATCAAGATGTAGAGATGCTCCAATATTGACTTCCTTTGGATCTTCTTCTAAACCCAAATTGGTTGTTTCCAATGACTCTTTATACGACTGAATGGCATTTTCCTCGTGCTCGAGCAACTGTGAAACCTCTTATGGAATATCATCATATTCTTCTTCTTCCGTACCAAACACAGGATATTCAAAGTTGGGAGAGGGTGCAGAGTCATTGTATTCAACAGGTTTATTAATTAATCTGCACATGTGATTTGTGATTGCTTTTAGAAACTAACATATATATCAAGTGATCATGCAGATTTATTTTCAATTATTATTCTATGCAAAAGGTTTTTTTATTATTACCATTTTCCATGAAAAAGCATAAATATAAAAGACATAATTTTGAGAATCAGAGACAACTATTATTAATGATTTTAATGATCAAATGAAACAGATAAGCCCATACAATATTAACTTTCATCTTGGGCAGAATGGAAGCTTTTTGAAAAGAAAAAACTAACTACTTTGAGACATGGATGCAAGAGGGAACATCATAAGTGACCCAGTTTTGGATTCTGACTCCAGGCGTCACATGACTCGACATTTCCTGATCTTCTTCATCATCCTAAATAGCATTAACTCCAGAAACAGTTGGATGGAGGTAGCCTCCGATGCAGAAGACATCATGATAGCTGCTCATAGTAGACTTTGACTTCAAACTTTCTCCTTTTCCATTCTTGGCAGAGAATCCTAACCCAACCCTGTTCTTGTTCACCGGAGGATCAACGAAATGTCCCCATACTTTACTTGGACCATTGAGCACAACCTGCTGAGCATCTTTGGACGAAGTCGTAGAATTCTTATTTGCTCTCACGTTATCAACAAATAGAGCCTGAAAATGTGTCCCAACAAAAACTTCATCTACCACCACAACACTGAAAGACGATAGGTGAGATATCAGTAATTCTTGATCTCTATTTATAATAACCACTTGACTTCACACACGAATTTCAACTTTTGGGGAAAAATGGAGGAGACGGCCCCTGCTTCATGTATCCATGGTCTTCTGAGTAAACAACTATATGCTCATATAATATCCATGACTTGGAAAGTGATCCAGAATTTCTAGTTAATTTTAATTTATATAAAAAGCAGTTAAGTTAATCTAATTAAACTAAATTATGTCCAATAAAATTAATTTTAAATGAAAAACCTAATTCTATATTTTTTATGATTTTATATTTTTATGATTTTTTTTGGTTTGATAAAAAAGGATTTTTTGTTGTAAAATTATTAAACAAATAAAACAAATAGAATAATAAGTAATAAAAAAATAAAAAATAAAACTGGGCCTGATGTTGTTACCACTCCAGGGGGGTGTATGGCTGATTTTTGTTGGGCCCAAGATGTTGGCCAAGATCCTGCGTGAGATACAGTGGAGTGGCTTCTGGGAGGTCCATCATGCACACCTGGAGCTGGAGCGTTTGATCTGGTGCTGAAGAGATCCAATGTTGATGATAAGCCAGTACAGGGTACACGCGCTTAATCCTGGGGCATTGAATCTGCAAATAGAAATTGGAAAAAAAATATGCATAATATATATATATATATATATATATATATATATATATATATATATATATATATATATATATATATATATATATATATATATATATATATATATATATATATATATATATATATATATATATATATATATATATATATATATGAAACAAGGGGATTATGATGATGTGTCAAAGCACGCGTTGAGATGGGCCCCTGGATATTTAAAACAACCAAACGTATGATGCTAACATGCCACGCCAGCTTACACCCGAGTCAACTGGCCGGAGGGACGCCGGAGTCAAACTCCGGTCGTCTTCTCGGGGATGTAAAAAACGTGAAACCTGCGAAATCGAAATATCAAGGCCTATAATCAAGGCTACCCCCCCCTAAATCAACCCTCTTGAATCCGTTTCTGGGGTTCATTCATCCTGAAACCGACTATATTATGAAGTATGGTGAAGAACACAGATCGTACCCTAAAAATGGCACGATCTTATTCTGGCCCCTTTTCTAAAATATTTCACGTTGTATCAGTCCTATAGGCTACACTGAACACAAATCAAACATTTAAGGAAGTTAATTCATCATAAAAATCAACATACGAATTCAAGAAAAATACCAACGATGAGTGTTTTGATTTGGTGCTTCTAGGCGTGAAATTGCTTGGATAAAGACTGGTATACGCTCCTGGGAGCTTCTGGGAGTGGATGGGAGGCTTAGGTTGGACTGAAAGAGGCTGGAGCCTGTTCTTTGGATTTTCAAGATTTTAAATGATTTTTGCAATTTTGGTATGAGCGCCTAGGGTTGTTTCTCTCTCCTCTTGTGCTTCTGAATGCCAATGCTTATATAGTAAATCATATTAGGTTAACAAAATTGGAAGAAATATTTTCTTTCATTGAGAAAATATTTTCCTTCAATAATATGATTTTTTTATTTATATTTAGACCAAATCACATCTTGCTATTTCTCCATAATATTTCCCTTGATATACCAGCAATACGTGTCCCTCATTTGATCAGAAAATATTCCAAATCCAAATCTTTTATTATTTCTACTATTTATTTATTTAATTTTGCATTTTAATGGATGAAATGTCAAAATAAATAATATAAATAATATAACAATGCATGGGTCAGCTTGGAGGTCGTGGAACAGGCTAGGAGTCTGTTGCAAGCACAAAAAGTTAGGCCCATTTGAGAAAAAATGTAGTTTTGAGCATTGTTGACTTTGGGCAAATTTCCAAAAATAGCCAACTTTGACAATGCATACCTCCCTCAATTTTGACCCTAAGAGGAGGTTCTGGGACTTTTTAGAAAGCTTGGGATGTCCCCTAAACATACCTTTTGGTTTCATTTCAATTGGATCTCCCATGCTCATGTAAGAAGCTTTGACCCAAAAGGTGTTTTTGTTGACTTTTTGAAATAACCTATAATGTCTGAATTCATATCTTTTGATGAGTGCACTTTTTGAACTTGAGAGATGAATATGAGTTGTAGGGAATTCCATCCTTTTCAAAATTAGCCTTGGATGGGAAATTTCTGATAAAGTATGAGAAAGTTATGCCTGGTCAAAGTTTGGTTGACTTTTCCTATAGAAACCCTAATTTAGCAACTTTTGAGTTTTGATGAATATGGGGAATTCCTTAAGGAATCATGATCAACCCTTGATCAAATGATGGATATTACTTCAAAATGTTGATGTTGACCAAAAATATTGAAGTTTGACTGTATGTGGGTCACAGTTGACTTTTGACCTAACATAGTTGATTTTCAGGCATTTGAGCAGTTGACTGAGCAAACACCTTGTGCAAGGCATGATACTTGACATGGATGTTCTTGAGAACATATTAAGACTATGGAAGAGATTTGAGGCCTTTGGAGCTCACCCAACTTGATGAAAATGGAAACCCTAGTTGGAGATTCATTTTCTTAGGAGAGCATTTGTCTGATCAATCCTTGGGCAAGTTGAGGATTTCAATGAACATATGTTGAGTAAAATGAGAGGGAAAATTTTGGGGTACAACAGCTTCCCCTGTTCAATCTCCTTAAACCTGAGGATGTAGATTGGCTGGTCTGCCTTTCGTGATCTGAAGGTAGAAG